CTACTTTTCTCTCTTACACGCTCACACACACATAAACACACACATAAACACACACACACACACACACACACACACACACACACACAAACAAACACACATGCACACGCACACACACGGTGCGCGCGCACAAAAACAAACAGACACGTAGACACCTTTACTCCCCCGCAGCCAAAACTAGACATGGTGAATGATGTTGTCCATAGGCAGCTCGTCAAATGGCTCTATAGCGAAAGTTAAGTGTTCTTATCCGAATTAGACTGACGTAATTCTTGAATATGATTTTCTTATTGCACTCTTGGAAATCGGCGTTAAATTGTCGAGAAAGCAGAATTGCCCATAAAGGGTAGGTGGGCTTTCTATATATATATTTTATATATATTACCTAGTAGCAACAGACAATAATAAGGTAGGACCAAATGAGGTAAATATATCCACAAAACCTGTGAAAGGAAACATGATAAATAAGACAAATTAATACTTTAAAAAAAAAAATTAAACGTAGATATCGACCAGTTACTGTGAGACTCCGTCATGCGTCACTTTTCAAAATGTCGTATTGCGGAGTCTTAGATTCTTGCATTAAGCAGTTGGTGAATAAAGCTGAAAAGTAAAAACTCCCTTGTACCTCGTCCAGCCTCCAGTTCTGCTCGGCCCGCCCCCACTCTATGGCCATCTACAAGAGCATGGACTACGGCATGACCTGGACGCCCTTCCAGTACTACTCCAACGACTGCAAGAAAATGTACACAAAGTCCCCCCACGCCAAGGTCACCAAAGCCAACGAGCAAGAGGCCAGGTGCTCGGAGACGTACAGCACCATCGACCCGTTCTCCGGGGCCAGGGTCGGCTTCTCCACCCTAGAGGGCCGGCCCTCCGCAGGGGACTTCGACAACAGCCCCGTCCTCCAGGACTGGGTCACGTTCACCGACATCAAGGTCGTGTTCAACAAGCTCAACACGTTAGGCGACGAGATAAAGGACGACGAAGGCGCCAAGAGGAGTTACTACTACTCGCTGTCCGACTTCGCCGTTGGAGGACGCTGCAAGTGCAACGGCCACGCCTCACGGTGTGTGAAGGGCGATGACGGCCGGTTAGCCTGTGAGTGCAAGCACAACACGGCCGGCCGGGATTGTGAGAAGTGCCAGAGGTTTCACTATGATCGCCCCTGGCAGAGAGCCACCAAGGGCCAGGCTAACGAGTGTGTGGGTGAGTAACACAGTCTTTTCTACGGAACATATCATTTTGTTGTTGGATTTGTGTTTCTACCACGTGCATTCATTCATTCTTTTATTCAAATAATTAATATTTTCTTTCAGGTTTATTCCTTAATTTGTTCTTTTATTCTTTCAAGGATGAATATATTCATGCATTCGATTACGACAACGATCCTGTATTTCTCTTATTTCCCACGTTCTAAAAATTACCTCCTTCCATTTGTTGGTCGATATGATCGTCGCCTCGTCTCTGTTTTAGTTTCAAGAACTCTATCATACAATGACACATAAACACACGGCAACCTACATGATACCATACATCCACGTGCTTCCAACGTCAGAGGAACAAACTTAATAGAGCAATTAAAACCCACTTACCTTGACACGATTTCACACACACACACACACACACACACACACACACACACACACACACAAAGGTATCTACAACGCACATCCAAAGCTGTGGAGGCAGCAGCATGAGCAGCGTTAGCAGCAGCGACATTATTATAGGCCTATTGCCACAGAAGTCCCGACAGCAACAACTTCTACAGCATAACAACAGCTACACCACCACTACCAACAACAACACCAACAATAGACTATCAAACCATCAAAAAGTCCAGGCAATTGAACAATGAGTTGCCAAAAAGCCTGCAGTACAGAATAAGTCCATGAGACAAAAAAGAAATCTTACTCTTGCTATTTACTGACAAACGACAGCACAGTTTGAGTACTTTATTCCTTTTCCTATTATGCCTTGTCTTACAGAAACTACCAGGTTTTTGATCTCTTTTCCTTTTTTACTAGCTTTTTATTCAAAGTTCATTTCATCGTCTCTTGCTAAGGATTATCATGTCCTTTTGCCATGTTGTTGTATGTGTGTATTTAAAATGTTTTTATAACATTAATTTTAAAGCACTTTTGATAAGTTCCGTAAGAAACACGAGCTTTTCGTTGCAAACTACGTCACAGGTGCTATCGGTGGAAACTGGAAGTTTACAGACTTCGTTTGGTCAAGAAACACGCTGCCATGTGAAGACAGGGGGCCGATTATGGTCTCTGTTACTTTATGTGATATCATTTGACACGTATGCGCTTTTCTGAATAATTGAGATTTTCTTTCGTTCCCACAGAAACACTGGAACTGAAAACTCTCATCCTGAGAAGAGCCCCCCCCCCCCTTTT